ATGAGGATAGCCCTAGCACAATGGCCTTCTATGAAACATGGCACTCAGAGAACATAAAGGACGAGGAAGTTTGTTAAGAACAGCCCAGCTTAATCCGAAGGGATAGACCGGAGGGTCCGGGAGGCGGCGTTGCTCTTTACACCCGCTCCCCCTTAAAAGTCCATTACAGTCTCATAGAATTGGCGTTAAAAATGTCCCTCGGTGTAGTATCAGGGGTGCTGTGGAGGTTCGCGTTTAGTTGGAGTCTTATACCGCCCCCCTGCAGCTGATGCCACTTTGAGTAAAACGTCAATACAGTCCGTTACAGGAGCCCGGGAACCGAACTTCCCACAGGTCCTCATTATGAGAGATCTGAACTTTCCGCAACTCTACCACAGAAAGTCCATCTACTGTTCTAAAAGACTTTCGGGAATCGCTACTGGAAAACTCCTTGACGGAACATGTTTCCCAGTGTACTCGCTGGGGGCCTGGTGGTAAGGCATCCCGCCTAGATCATATTTTCACAAATCAGTTCATTGGGGTAAGCAGCTTGAATGTTTTCAGCCCTCTTGGCCTAAGTGACCATGCAGTTATCTCCTTCAATACTTCTGTATCTAAGCCACCCGTTCCCGATCAGCCGCCGTTCAGGAACCCTATGAGGACTGATTCTGAGAAGGTTCGGCAAGGTCTAGAAGGTTCCGCTTGCTTAAACTGCGGTGACCTACTGGATCTTGATGCTAGATGGGGTCTGTTGAGGAATATAATCCTACAAACGGCAGAAGACAACACTCCTCTGATTCCAAGAAGAACTAGCAAGTTCGACTCCTCCTGGCTTAAGTCGAGCACACGCAAACTAATACGGCGTAAACGGTCGTCTTGCACTGATAGCCCTTTTGACTGGCTAAATTATTGAGATATCCGTAACAAATGTTCAGTAGGGATCAGAAGCGGCAGAATTAACCACCAGACACAACGTTGTAGAACCCTGGAGGGAAATCTTGGGATACTGTACTCGCTGATGAAACAGAAGAGTAACAGTTCACTGAGTTTACAGGACCCCATTAGTTTGGAGATTCTCTGTTCCAACTCCGAAGTTGCAAACCTACTAGCTCATGAGTTCCAAAACAGTTGTCACTTGGGAGACAGAACCCCGCCTCTGTCGGACACCCGTATCACAGAGGCACCAAATCATATAGGGTTTAAACCCTCTGTAATTATGGAAATATCAAAGAAACTGAACCCGAATAAGTCTCCAGGAATCGATGGGATTCACCCAAGAGCACTCAAGGAGTGTGCTGAAGTTCTGTGTGCCCCACTAGCAAGCCTCTTCAAATGCTCGTTTCTGGAAGGCAGGTTACCCTCTGATTGGAAACCGGTGGCTGTCGTCCCAATTTATAAAGGTGGAAACAAACTACTCGCCTCCAACTACAGACAAATCTCCCTGATCTCTTCAGTTGCGAAGGCCATGGAGAGAGTCATAAATGACTCACTTCATGGTCACTTACTTCAGAAATCAATCCTAAACGACTGTCAGCATGGCTTTCTACCAGGAAGGTCATGTAACACCAACTTGTTGATAGCTTGAAATAGCTGGACACTCTCTGTCGAGAAGAAAAAGCCTATACACATTGGTTTACCTGACTTTTCTAAGGCCTTTGACAGGGTAAATCATGATATCCTTTGTAAGAAACTCCAGCTCATTGGTGCACAGGGAAAATTATTAATCTGGCTTAGGGATCATCTGTGCACCAGGATGCAGTCAGTTAGAGTCGGCTCCACTGTGTCTAATTGGTTCCTGATGCCTTAAGGTTCCATACTGGGACCACTACTGTTTCTTGCTCCCATCAGTGATCTACCAGGGGTCCTTAATTCACATTCACCATTATATGCCGATGATCTGGAGATTTGGAGGGAGGAGGAGGAGGAGGAGGACCTTACGAAAATCCTTAATTGGACTACAGAAAACCTGCTTCCTCTCGACCCGGAGAAGTGTCGAATTATGATAGTTGACAAACATAAGGGCAGTCCCAGTTCGTACTCTCTAGGTGAAACAAATATCTGTCACTCTAACATGGAGCAAGATCTGGGAGTTACACTAAATGATACACTAGGAACCTCGGTTCATTGCCCCCTTGCAGCCAGTAAGGCTTATGGAACCCTGGGGTTTCTCTCGCGAACTTTAGGCTGTCTTACTCCTCTTTTCACCAAAGTGTATGCTCTGTACATTCGTCCTCATTTGGGAAAAATTCGCTTGTAATGTCCCCATACTTGGAAAAGGACACTGCCATCCTAGAACGGGTACAGGGAAGAGCTACAAAGAAAGTGATTGGGTTACGGCACAAACCGTACCCAGACCGCTTAGTTGCTCCTCAGCTGCACCTAGTACAACACCGGAGGATCAGAGGGGATATGATCATGATGTACCACATCGCCTATAATTCCCTCTATCCCAACAGATCCCTTCTAAGCTTTAGTCGGAAACGCAACTTGAGGGGTCACCCGTTAAGAACAGAGCATGAGAGAGGACGTACAAAGATCCGTGCTAGCTCATTTGCAGTCAGACTCTGAAAACTGTGGAATTCCCTCTCTTCAGCAGTCGTTACAGCCCCATCCCCTGATACCTTTAAAAGGAGGTTGGACGCACACCTCGAGTCCTACGGTACCGATGGACTGTACTCGAGAAGCTTTCCCAGATCAGATGCAGTAATACCAACTTGAGACCAGATTAATTAATTTATCGTATTTTAGGATTTGTCCTGGTGCGAACTTGACAGACGCAAAGAGCAATCACCAATTATTCGGACTTGTTTTATACCCACGAATACGAGACCAAGTAAGAACACGATAGCGTAGTCGGATGGAATAGTATATTTGGATGGTTATGCCAAAATACCAATGCGTTCCAACTAACTGGCTAGAGTCGAATACGAGCAGTGCAACGTAACACGACAACGTGCAAAATGGAAAAGATGCTTGACCGGGTGCCCCTTGCTTAGCGAGTCCAGTTAAACTATCAAGGTCAGCATCAGTGTCGAAAGTCGTCAAACCCTAGGCTATTGGTTTTGGGGAAGTGTGTGATGCTACAGTAACTCTATCCTTTCAGGTTTTTCAGAACCGGGAAGATAATTGTGATCATTCCAAACTCAGAACGTATTCCAATAAGACAGACATAGAGCCCAAGGGACCGCAGTTCGCTAATTCCGCAACACGAAGTTTGAAGTTTGATTTGTGCCGCTCTAACCACTAGTGTATTGTGTGCAAATGTGCGGAAATTACAAGCTTGGTGTTACTTGCTGAGCAATTTGTTAAAGATAACTCAATATTAAGTCATCTGGCTATCACATTGAACACCTCTATGTATGTTCTAACATATGATTTAAATACCATAGGGAATAATTCTAGGTTTAACGATCCAAGCTGTCTTCTAAGGAAGTGCATGATGGCGTTCGCCTTTGTTGCCATTCCCTAATAATTGTCGGTAGTATTCAGTGTGTGTGCGGAAAGTTTAGTCCTGGGTCCTTCTGTGTGGATACCTTGGTGACTGCACACTTGATAATAGTGTAGCTGGTTTTCATTGCCGCTGGTGTGCAAAGACATCAACTTGCATTTCTCTCTAACCTAGGTTAAAGCTTAAACCGTTTACAGCTGACCAGGACTCCAGCTGAAACAGGTCGTTTTGCAGTATCCTAGGATTCTCCTTACCTATTATCCTCCATATTTTGATGTCATCTGAAGAAAGGAGGATGGACGAGGAAACTTTAATGGAAGAGTCATTTATGGATAGTAAAAATAGGAGTGACCCAAGGATCACTCCTTGAGAAACTTCTGTTCTTGCACTCCTCCAGGTTGGTCGAATTTTGTTTACGTTAGTACAGAATCTTTTCTCTAGGTATGCTGTAAACCATGCCAAAAGTGGTTGAGTGATGCCTTGGCTAGAATGTACTCATGACACTGTATCCTAGATACGTCAGACCTTGATCAGGGTACTAAATTCAGTCAGCCAGTCCGTACCTACAAAGGGGTACTGACATGGTTGAGGGTGTTAGAAGGGTAAGTAATAAGTGGGTGGCTGGCCTTTCCGTTCTTCCGTAGGGGGAAGCGCCTAGATCAACTGGATCTATTCCTGCTGTCACACTGTGAGAAAGGGGTGACGTCTTACTGGCACTTCACCTTCGGAGGTTTATACAGCCACGTAGTACTATTAGTCCCTAAACAATAGAAGCGCTTCGTTGCCTGCTGCACGAACATCCACGAGGTTACTGGGTTGATTTCTATTCTGCTTCCCATATCGATTCATTGATCCCTACATAATATTTTCTTTATAAGGTAGTAGAAAACCAGTTAACTACAATGAATAATCTGGATATCTGTCAGAGTCGACTGAAGTGTACATTTTTAAGTGTACACAATGTTTTCCATAATAAATAAAGTATCATTTAGTTGAGTTTTGTCGGCTGTGATAAGTGTGATACCTAGCTCTAGGATATTTTGCCGATTGACTCATAACATCGAATACTGAAATTCAGTGTCATGTCATTCAGATTAGCATCCATACTACAGACTTGGTTGATATATTTTGATTATAGCTGGGCATTTAGGAATCAAGTACTGAAGTCCTAACCATCTAGTGATCCTTTCATGTTCCCGCGAAGGTAGATTACAGTGGGAATTAACTAGTCAGTTCATTGTGGGGAAAGATGAGCGGGACAATAAGTCTCTGAAGGCTTATGTTGTCAGTTCTTTTATATGTGTTTACAGTTTTTGTTGATGAGAAACAGTGTAGACTTCATTAGAATGCGAGTATCTCTTAATGCATTTTAAGAAGTATTAAAATATTAAATCTGGGTCTGTGATTAAGTCATCATTGTTAAGTAGTTTGAAAAACATACATATTTGCTTACTTTGATTCATAGTTTTTCAGGTCAGTAATATCCGTCTACACTTTATTTATTGGTTTGTTTTTCGAAATGGTACTTGATTCATTAGTCAATTCATTTCTTGTTGCAGATATTTTGGTGTAGATGACTATTGACTATACGGCTAGAAAACTTTTCGATAAGTTCAACATCGATACAAAACAGTGGTCATATTCACGTTTAACTGTTGCAGTACTAGCACATGAATCTCTTGGTGTTGGATTGTTGGTTGGATTCTGGGTGATATGTTATAAAAAGCAGCCACTGAAGTATCTCACCTTACTTACCCCTGTAAGCATTCAAGTATTTACTCAAAGTATGCTTATGGTTTCGTCATTGTCCGTATTACTTAGAGGATTAAATTGGTCAGCACGAAGACTTCGTCGACTACCGTGGCTCCTTTCTTCACGAACAGATCCTAACCGGATCCTTATCAGTGGAGCAGAGAGCTACGTCATTCGCAAATTACTATCACCTTTTACTATCCCTGCGAAGATATATCTGGCAGTTGTGGTTTCCAGATTTCTGTGTTGATTAATTCTCAAACTTTCGAATATAACCTTCAATGTAAAATTTGTTACTGGAAAAAATAAACATATGAATCCCATGTATTTTCTTACTTTTGTGTTGGAACACAGATTTCTTCGAGTTCCATAGTACTAAGACAATTGATAACCACAACGGAAGAAGACAGATCATCTTAGGTTCATTCAAACAGTTAAAAACTATAACTACTATGAAAATGTTAACACATTTACTACCTTTGTCTTTCGTTGTTCACTTATAAGATAAACAATGAAGGTACATGGCTGTAGCCTCAAAAAACCCTCTTAATGTAGCGTTATCGGGAAGCTGGAAGCGTCGATTTCAGAGGGGATAATGTGACGTCAGCAGTATACTTCTATTATTTAAGTGAAAAGAAGATTAAGAGAGTTTTGCTCCAGTTTTCGTATCCCCTTCCAGCTCATGGCTGGACGTCGTCTGCTTAGATGTCATTATCCAAGACCTGGGGGGATCAGTCCCCTCACCGAGCAATAAACATAGTGGCAACGTATCCACATAAAAACAAACACTCCTGCAAGAGCACTGTTAACACCCCCTGGAAACTGATCAGTGAAGTACCAGAACCCTCCCAACTGTTAGGTTTCAACGCATCCACATTTGCCGGGTAGTCGGATCGTTTGATCGTACTCGCCTCTCTGTGGGCAGACTTGTGTCAGACGCACTTCACAAGGCTTTACAGTCTTGGGGAAGAGATGCAGCTCACTTTCTGGAGAGACTATCTCTCTCCTACCAAAATTTCACATGCCTCGCCTCCTCCTAGACTACACATAAAACCGAGGCTAGGGCGAACAACACTCAGCATTGCGGACCGAATACCACCCACATTCGCTAGACAAAACCACGCATTCTCTAAGGACCGCTACAGCAAAGGTGACTACCGGAATCAGGAAGCTGGATTCCCTTGCCTTTCAGTTCCACTGTTCCCAGTACATTTGGTGGAATCCTGGCAGTTAGCTAGGCCGTCCCTGCTTCAGAGACCCACATCACTGACCTAGGCATGTGAATCTCATCGACTGCGTTTACCGCCAAGTCAACTCTGATGGTGAGTAGGTTGATATCTAGAGGGGCCACATCGAGGCTCGCCGCCGTTGCGTAACTAGGCTCGACCAATAATCACCGGTGCACACACCACCTCCGGTTTTTATGGCCAGCAGCGCAAACACACCACTTAACTGCATCGTTTACAACTTCTTCACGTTGACGCCTTGACACGTACCTATGGTGGAGGCATTTGGCTACCATAAGAGATTCGTAGTTTTTGTCGCTAAGCTGCTTTTCTTAAAATCTTCGAAAAATCCCCACAAAGACATATTAAAAAAACGAGAGCGAACGGCTCAGCGGAGAGACTATTTGGCGAATTTATTCCCTTATCTGTACAATCGCATTTATATACAGTATTTTGGTGCGAATGTACGAAGTGTTTCATGTGTGAAAGAAGTTTGTTAGGTATGGCAACAAAGTGATACATATATGAGCAGAAAAATATGATTCTCATCTTCAAATGATCAAGATGTTTACGAATATTGAAAAGTCATGAAATGGCACAGTAACAAGAAAACTTAAATCCTCATGTCATGAGAATGTGGGGTTGCTGAGATCACTGGGTATTGCCCAAAATATCATAGAAACTAAGTCAAGATAATTAAGTTTGAATAACGAGTTCAGTAAAAGCAAAATATTTTATGAATGAATTGTTATTAGGGTCACGTAAAGAAGCAAGGAGTAATTGATAATATGTAAGTAGTGAGTGGCAATAAAGTTATACGGAATTCAGTGGAGACGGTGATGAAAATATTACAAAATCGTTTATTCCGTTCATTGTGAAAAACCTTATTTACACCTAGATTTCGACTCGTTTTCTCCACGCAACCAATTTTCCGACTGTGCACGAAAGATAAGCTACAGCTGTTGGCCTCCTCAACATGTACCTATCAATTCACCTGCTCTTAATGAGCGAGGTATGTCGACATACTCAACTTCTGCTTTCTGAACGCATCGTCGGAGAAATAACATGTTGGTTTCTCAGGGGAGAAAGAATATCTTCTCACAGTTCAATTTTAGGACATTTGATTGATTCTGGACACCAGGTGCACCTACAATCAGAGTTTGGTGTGATGTACAGAGCTCGTGAAAATCTCATGAAGGCTGTGCGAATAAAATGTTTTCAAATTATGGAAGCCACAGGGATTTATATACTTTAAAGTCTGAACTCTGCTTGTAAAGAAAGTTTGTCCTGTCACTGTACTTACAATGAACTTAACCTGTGTGAAGATTTTACCTTTGGGAAGTGTTTTTCCTTGCCTTTACTACCTCATTACGTCTTCTCTTCATATGACATATCCTTCTACCCTTTTCCAGTCTAATTTTGATTGTTCAACTGCACTCAATTCTTTTAAAGGTGTTACACCCTGGAACCCAGCTACTTAATCTTGTTTTGGCTTCCGATAAATCTTAATTTCTAAATGGGAAAATTCATTTTTTGAAATATCAGTTCTTTAATCACAAGTGAATCTTTTTAACACACTTTTCGAAACATTCTTTTTATGTTGCCAACCATAGTAATATAAGATTGTACAGCTTTAAAATGGATCACTGAGAACAGTAACTCTTCACTGAATTCCTATTGTTTTGTGAGTCTACAATCAACTGAATCCCTCACTATGTGTATTCCAAAGGCTAATGTTTATAAAATAAAGTGTTGTATGCGCTCAGTAGATTTTCCATTGTCATAGTGAGTATCACCACTCAAATCCTGGTATTTTCAAACTTTGTCACCTAGCACTTATTCGTTTTCTGACTTCCTCCATGTTTATTTTCTCATAGATTGTTCCTCCTATTGGCTGGACAGAAGCAATCAGTTGAAAGCCGTGAACCTGCATTTCGTGCTTGTTGGCACTCATCAGGAAAGCGTATCTGCAGCCTCAATGGAACTGATGTCCCACCTGAGATTCGAACCCTCGTCACCGGGTACTGAAATTACAGATATTACTGCTGAGTTAATTGGGCTGTGAGTGACCTGCTGTAGGATTAGATTAAGTACATTGATTTGTCACTTGAGGCTAACCAACTTCATGTTGTCTAGTCCTATGTATTGGTCGAATTCTATCGATCACATTTGGCATTGTGGCCACCAGGCCAGGCGAATAATCATCCCGATTCACTGAGACAGATGGTATGATACTTATTTCAGAACATATACTACAATTATTTACTTAACCTTAAATAGTTTTTATTCAGTAAAAATACTGATGTACATCTTTCGAAAATGACACCGTTGCATCGAAATTTAAATTTACTACTAGATGTTTATTTGAATACTAAAGTATAAAGTTGGTCACTAATTACGATCTCTACAATGTGATATCGAAGCAATTCATATATTATTCAGTTAAGCCTTTCAGTTCTTTTTATGCATAAAAGATGAACACGTATAAATACAAGCGAGAAGACTAATCATATGCATAGTGAGATAATGAAATGCTAACAGTCAGTCAGACAAACACATGGATACGCCTTGATTTTGTATACATTTCCTGGATTTCAATTGTAATTTGATTATTCTGTTTATAGTAAGGTATGATGTTTACCTCCTGTAAAACTGATCGTTTTTATTTCTCTCTATTTAATCATACTGTAAATCTAAATAAGTATGAAAGTTTATTTTTGATTAAAAGCAAGCAATAGAAAGGTAGAAACCTGATGGAAAACCGGTTTGATAATTAAGTGAACTGGGCGAATTAAACGAAGAGTAAGTTTTATATCAACGACTCTACACTGATATACAGAAATTACAGTTAATATCAGAATGTCAGTTATGTAGAGATGACTTAGTTAATGCCAATTATGGATTTAATTTTATTCAGAAAGATGGTAATCAGAGAAATGAAGTTGCAAAGTGGGGTGGGGATGGAGATGGGGAGGGACTGCATAAGAATAATACAAACTGTGATGTAGAGTGAAACAGATCGTAACTGGTCTAAGTGAACAACAGCTAATAAGAGAAGTGTCTCCTGTTTTATCGAATAAAAACCCTTTAGTGGCAATTACTTAAGCCTAAGTAGAAAAAGGTGTGATTTAGGCAGAGGGGAAAGTTATCTGTAAATAGTTTTTGGTTGATTTAGCAAACATTTGAAGTCAGAAGCTAAATTACATTGACTGTCAGAAGAAGGGGAAAAGTTGTGCAAATTTCATGTGAGTCGAGAGGTTTGCTTTATAGGATGTATGGGGATTTCTCCCACCATGTATATTCTAGGAATTTCTTTGGTCTAACATCTTCATATCTACAGCTTGATAAATTCATCGAGGTAAAGAAAGAGATGTGATATCATCTAGTTGCGGGTCCTTGTTCTAGAGTGTTCTAGTTAGCTAAAGTGCACAATTTATACTAGGTAGCTTTGAACAAATTCAATTTAACTTGTTTTGCATTTTCTCTTGTAACAGTGAGATGTTTTGTGAGTGGTACTCACCTAAAAGGTTTGAATCATTCTCTAAGTTTGATAAGAAAACCTGTTTGTTACATTTTTGAAAAATATGTTGTTTTTGAGAATATACCTGACTGATATCTTTGCACAAAAGGAACGATAATTTCCAGTCATCTTTTAAAAGAAATCACTAAATGTTCTGATGTTACTCCTCATCAGGTGAAAGTACTATAGGGCATTTCTTGCCATTTCGAACAGCATTTCCATACAAAATCATGCATCTGTAGTAACCTCAATTTATTCCTTCGAACATATCATTCAATTTCTAGGCATTTTACATTGTTGAGATGTTTGCCCACTTCGAGAATGCCTGAGAACATTCCACACACTTTCTTCAAGCTTTGTACACTTCGCGCTTCTTTTGGTTTTCGGTTTGCTGATCAAGATGCGCGTGAAATACATCGCTCACATTATTCGTGCTCTGGTCTTTACAATGCGTGTCGTTGTTAATCGAATTACTAGTAACGGGAACTGGACCTATTGTATACATGAATTGAATGCATTATCTCCCATCGCGGATCCATTAGAACGAATAGTTGCGCTAACGGACTAAACATCAGTGATACGGGATTTTTACTGTTGTAACTTAGGATTCGGTGTGTGAGATGGTCTCTATGAATTCAGGCCAATTTATAAGTTTGCTGAGAAGTGGAATCTGTAAATAGCTACCTAGAAACAAGCCAATCGGTAAAACAATGCAGATCCTTTTCATTCGTAATTTAAATTCTTTGAAAAGACACTTGCTTATTTTTCTACTAGGTTGTTTCTTCTGGTAATGATGAAACTGTTATCTGCAAAACCGTATCCAGATCTCCAGTTAAAAATACTAGGCATGATTTGCTCTAGGTTTTGTATTATTTCTCCCGAAATTCCTGCAGATAAGGACTTTCCAACTGATGTTGGAAATTGTTGGGACGGCAGATCACGTTCAAGTCTGCAGTGACCAGTCAGAATCGACTGTATGAAGGACAACGTAATTATTATGGAAAATGGTATCTTATCTGAAATTTATAAATCTGTTTTACATGAGAAATAAGGATATCTGAATTCTCAATGGGTTTATCGTTCTTGAAACGATACCATCGTCTGTATTGTCACTTGTCCATATGAGACCATGTCATATGTTCTAGCGGATCACGAGGCCACGCAATTCTGTTATGGGTCTCAAGAACTTTCGAAGACGACTCCACATATTTTCATCGTTATTTGTCTGTACTCCAGCTGTCGGATTAATGAAGTACTTTTTTGTGACCATAAGCTGATTCCAGATAACGGCATGTATGATTTCCAAGCGCCTGTCTATATTGCTGAACCCAATTCTACCCATTTCTCTATAACTGGCAGCATAGATTCTTCTGATCTCTCCTCTATCCACTGGAAATATCTTTTATTCGTATTTCGATCATCTGTACAGAGAGTTCGTGATTTTTCAAGACATGTATTTAACTTACGCAGTCATTTTTAGGTCGTCTCCCTTGGTTACATTTGCGTCTGATACGTTAGGCACACAGTCCATTACAGCACTACGTTCACAACTTTGACTTCTCACAAGCATTGCATCTCTCTGAAAATAACCGACAACCTAGTCTTCATCATAATTCATCAACAACTTACGCAGCGTCAACAACATGGTAAACGGACGTAATAGAGTGACGTTGATACAAACCACCCGTGACCTGATTGTTCATCCTTTAGGTTTTCCGGCACTAAAGTTTAGTTCCATCAGTATTCCTATTGTCCACTTAAACAAATAATCATACAAATCGGAAATATGAGTTCAGCCAAATCTAAAGCTACAATGCCGTGTTTTACAAAGTTAGAATCATAATGGACTTCTTGAGAATAGAACTTAGATCATGTTTTATTGAGCTGAATAATGTTATTATCTCTTTCTTAATATAAATATTGTCAGCCTTTCTCTTAACTTTTACTAAGTCATGTATTCTGAGGTTGATGAGGATTTTATATTGAAGGTAGTGTTCACAGTGTGCTGACATCGGTCAGAGAACCTTTGAAAGCCTAGGAGCTCTGGATAGCTGTTTCGTCCTGGTATGGGACTCTCGAGCAGTATGCACCCGCGACCCCACCAGGGATCAAACTCAAGACCTTCAGGTTTCGTGTTAAACGCCTTAACCGTTCATGGAGTGGGTTGGAGTTCATTGGTTCAAAGTTTCCTGCTTCTGTCAATTCACAATAAAGCGCGACTATCAATCATCTAAGGTCTTCTGTTTACCGTTCGCTTCAATTCCGAATCGAAGACCACACAAGTCTCTTTTTCTCATTAGAACTTCGAAGTATTCGTGTCGAAGCTTGTCACCAATGAGCACTGTACATTAATGTATTTCGAAGATGATGGGGAATCTTTTTAAAATATTCAACAAAATAGTTGTATAATTCCGTTAAAAATCAGTTTCTCACGGCACTTATTACATACCACATGTACAAACATACTCTGAAGACATTAAAACTTCTCTAGAAGAGAATAATGCATTTTTCAAACCATCTTAAAACAGACAAATAGTAAAAATATGAACAACAGTAATAACAAGAAAAGTAGGGAAGTATTCATCATGAATTTTCACTTGATAAATCAATAATCTACTAAGTGTTTCACACAGTTATCTATGTAACACAAAAGTTCAGCACTCAGTCACTAAATCCTCTTAGTCTCTCTAATTTCGCCGAAACAAATATGAGGTGATAGCAAGGAATTTAGCTTTTATGAATTCTACACAAGTTACTAGTGTAAACAAATGACACAACATTTCTACTGATCGTAGAAAATCATTCACGATGATCATTAAACGTGTCAGATAGGAATAACCTTGATGGAGTAAGAGAAGTGTCTTGAATAAATCAAGACAATTCAACACCATTGACATCAAAGACCAAATGATAATCATGATTGTGATATTATTTTGTCGACTGTTGTGAATATGTTCACTTGGTGAATTGATCAATCTACGATTATTCTGATGCTTATATGCTCTCCAAAATATAATACTAAAGGATATCAATTGTATGAGAATAGGTAATAATATTGTCAAGATAATTGTCAATAAAGTGAAGGCGAAATCAGCATTTTGTGACTGTGGATTTATTCCATAAATATCTAGTACACACGAACCATCTGGTGTCACGTGTACATTTATGGTGATGCCCATATTAATAGCTAGTAAATAGAGTAGAGTGAATCCATGATATGCAATTATTGTCTTGGGATAATATATTAGATCTCTTTGTGGCATCAGAGTATAAAAGCATCTTTCAATCAACATACTAACAACATTCTGTTTACAAAATAATCCAAGTAGACTGTAGATGAATGTACTACTCCACATATGACATATAAGGATATTGAACCACAATTCTGGTGTGCGTTTGATCACTGGACAAAAGAAGTGTATGATTTCACCAAGTGATTTAAGCCATTCAAATGTTATCTGCAGCATAATTAACAAACTAAGCAATTGACCAGGTAGTGATATATTCAATATTAGATAAATGAAGAGTGGATTGAATATTGAATTGACAAATGACAAACTTATTGAAGCATACTTGACTTCTTCCAGTGCTATTCCCGAATAGATAAGAGCATGTCCTCCCACCTCAGTTGGTTCACACATCTTATATTCAGTATAATGATTATGCAAGTAGGAAAGCACAAATGAATATTCTCAAATTTTTGACATATATATGATGTGTGTGTGAGTGTCAAACAAACGAATCAATTCGTGATTAAATTATTAGAAGAAGCGCAGATGAACTTGGAAAGTGGATGTGTTTCTGAAACTGTAGATGAGTTGAGATTTGCTGTGAGAATGAATTCATTTGATATGAAGTGTATAAGGCGTATGCCATGGACATATATAATTGATGATGGACATACACACACACACACACAGGCTGCAGTGGGAGAACTAAAGTAATGGTATTGTAATAGTTTTAATGAAATAGTTAAACTCATCTGATTGGTGTTTTGTCTGTAGTAAACATTTTTAATCAGTTAGCTCCCAATAAAATTGGATTCTCAGGACATGTGCTGTAGTTTAGCGACTCGTTGATTTACCTCATACTGTTTATCGTATTTTCAAGGTAATACAATAGTCTGAACATTTTGCTGAAGAAGCTGCAGTATACACAGCGAAACGTTCACTAAAATCTTGTTTTCGATTTTCTAAACAAGCTGAGGTTATGTTGAAACTTACCCATATGATAATGGAAGCATCGTTGATAATATTCATTTTGGTGACGTCCAGCAGGATCTAGCATGCATGTTTCTTCCCATTACAGTGAGTGATGTTGTACTCCCACAGCCTCAAACTCAGAACACCGCATCAAACGCCAAATCACCACCCAATGGACCACTGGAGCACGAGAGTCACCGCCTTTGCAACAGGTATCACTTAATGTTGTTTGATACTGTTACGATCCAACGCTCCGAAACGATACGACCAACGATAGAACAATCATCTCTCAACTCGATATTCAGCTGACACCAGAAGAAGACGGTGGGATTGAAAGTTTATTTACTCCAACCGAATAATGATAGGTTGAAACTCAGTCGTTTATATGTCCGTAAATGCACTTGGTCAGAGAAGATAAAATGGCATATTCATAATGTGTAAAATGGACCAATCAGCGTTTAGTATCCTAAACTGCGGTAAAAGTGGGAAACAGAAACACGGTGCGAACAATATGCTTGAAGTTTACAATGATAATATAAACATAGTATAAGTTAGTTATCTTAGGGATTGACCATCCCTAACAGATGCTTGCAACTTCCCCCTGCTATACAGAGTCAAATTGCTCAATCTCTCAGTGAAATCAACACCAATTACTGGAGTGTAGTTACATTCAGCTAACAGGTCCCGAGTGGGGTGAAACGCGTTCTGGATTCCACTGAGTACCACCAAGATGAATACAAAATCATGACTAGCCAGCAGTATCGAGGCGTCCACATGGTACCCCATCTGACAACGGAGGTCAAGGAATCTCACCATGTTTAGGAACGGGAAATTACAAGTATCAAACAACACCTCGTTGGTAATATTTGACTAAATATTCCGTTCAACCACCTGAGAGTCAACGTCAGTGATAGTGGAATGATTGTGTAACTTCCTCGCTGTTCAATAGAGAAGGCTATCTTCCTTTCAGTTGAGTATGAAACACTTGGGACTTGGCAGTTGGCTTTGGGTGGAGTAGTATGTTAGCATACTAATACCGACTCATAGCCCCACGTGAGTTGTTAATTACAAGTCCCTTCCAACTCTGTAAAATATGAACACATGAAGAAAGAAGATAAAGAAGGGATAAATAACGTGAATTAATGACAGGCAACGTGATTTCTTGCACTTTCATTCAACTACTACTTCTAAAGTAGTCCCCATTGACCTGAAAATACGACAAATGGCTCAAAATCGTATAACGCATCTTTCCGATACATTGGTATTCTTCAGTCACACAGTGAGAAATAAGCTAACCTAAAAACCATCTCTTTTTCTCTTTGAAAACGCACCACAGATGCTCAACGTCGGTTTATGTCATATGGTGAATACTAACCAGTCAATAAGTTTATCTCATCTCAATAAAACTCAAGTTCAGTATGTATACATGTATGCATTGAAATATATGTACTAAAGATATGCACAATTTTACTACTAAAATGTAATAACTGGACACATTGAATGTGATTCATTTTAAATCTGTCTCCAATGGATCTCTTACACGAAGTCATCACCAATTTCTCATCAAATGTTGAAGAGTTTAGGCTGATTGACCCAAATACTCGACTTCCAATCAGTGGGTCCAGGGTGTTAAATAATTGTGATGAATCGACACACAGACTTCCTTTCAATATAGAACCAGGATTCGGTGCATGAACTATGTTTCAAAACAGACAGGCATATAATATCTGTTATTATCATCACATATTTTCACTACAAATATAACACACTGATTGTGACTGCATCATCCCTTTCCAAGTGAGATGGGATTTAGCGTCAGACAGTGACGACAGTTTCAGATATGAACAACTTATTGACACCTTAGTGTAAATGCATGAAACCTGTAAGATGTAGCCTCACATGAAGACAACTACATGCAAATAAGCACAACTGTCAGGAACTCCTGGAAAGCCTACATATTCATGTTCTTTTATAGGGGACATGAATGACTTTCTACATAGAAACCAAAGAATTTCTAGGTTGCTCCAGATATCATCCTCTAAACTATTTCCTTCATTGCAACTCAATGAAGTAGCGAAAATTCACGAGCCAAGGAGACTGGAACATGCACAATGAACACCGAACCACCAACACTCCCAATTTACAATGTAGGCTGAATTACGTTGAGATTGGAGAATGGTTAGACGTGATCGGAGTACGACGTGTTGTCAGTCCGTGAAGTCCCCAACATCTGGTCTGAGCTCTATAGAGAAGTGTAGACGTCCTGGTTCGAATCCGAGTGACGACTGAAAGTGATGGTTGATGAATCGTGGTTATGCCAGTCAGAATTAGTCTCAACATACATTTCTCAGTTAGACTTTTCAAATTGTGAGAAAGTAAGTTTGAAGAGAGGTGACTGGATCTCTCATGGACCATACTTGGTTGCAGACTGCAATATTTTGAGCTGTTCAGTCAGAAAGCTGTCAGAATGACAGAACTTGCTGCTAACGACTGGTATCAACAATAAGTGCTATGGTTCGTTGAAGATGAACTACCTAGAAATGCTTCCATACCGCATTATACCTCAGAAAGGAGTTCCAACTGTAGAAGGATCATATTCAATCAAATGTGAGAATAACAAGATCATAATTATACATGAAACTGCCTAGTCGGCTAACTTGTGGTTCAGTGGGTGTAGGGTGGTGCAATTGTTTAAGTTCAAGTCGATAAGATAATTGATCCAGATGATGCTTCACAGATTTGGTATTGCCCAATAAATAAAGGATAAAAATGTCACACTCGCCTACTCATCATGTCTCTTTCTTGTCCCGATAAACATATCATCACAACTTTGAAGGAGAATGTGCGGCTGTTATGGAAGCTTCGAGTTATGGAATAGAAAGCAAGTCGCTGATTATGGATAGGCTTATTCACCATTTGGGTGATGATCGTTTTTATTCAATCAACCTTCATTTACTACTCATATTTCATTTCTCTCACTGAATTCGCTAATTCTGCGAGGTTTTCACGTATCTGCATTTACGAGGATGACAGAATGATGGTCAGGGTGTTCAAATTGAAACGTGGTCAAGTATTGAGCTACACAACGGAAACCCGATCACAACTTTATTTTGACTCCGTCAACCTTACCATCTGATTCCAAGTAAGTTCGCAGCACCCATTAAGTGGGAAAGCAGTTGAGTCATCGCTGATTTCTGATATAATTCACAAGTTTCGCACACTGCAATCCATCGGATTTCGCCTAATATCCAACTTCACACACTGACTGTCTTCGTCATTCTCAAACTCTAATTCTCAAATCACTCAACAGGTGTCCATTCAAAAATAATTTAGGGACGATTGGGGATCACTCGAAAGCTTATTCATGTCCATGTCACATTTCAGGTGGTTTAGCGTTGTGTAATCATATGGATGAATATCCTTATAATACACATATTCACTTGAGCTGTGGATAGTAGTCAAAGACCTGCATAAGTTCCTGAAGGTAGTTAGACGCAACGTCTGCTACAATTCACTTTCATACCCGTATTAGAAATGGAGATGCCACAGTATTTTCAGTATTGATGTTGTCAACGTCATTGCAGAGAAGCTAAAGCAGGGCAGAATAACATAGAGCTCTACCACGTTGACCAGAGCTTGCAGATTTCCGATATAGCACTGTTCAGGGTTGAGGAATGGATAGCAAAGTCCTGACGCACCTCCGTTTGCTACTTGGAGACTTGTATCAGAATAGGTTCCACCTATACTCATAACACGCAGACTTGGATTGAACAGTATCACTTGATATTCAGGTCCAGGAAGTCGAAAATTGAAGTATCAGCGACCAAAATCGAATGATCATCTGCTCGCTCACTCAATACACAGAACGATTTGTGAGTCACTTTATAGAAGTTTTCCAATCGTGTGACTGATATCCTCTCTCGATATGTGAACCATCAGTTAGAGATATCTGCGAAGTGTGAACTGCAGTTATCAGGTTTCATATTTGAAGACGTTTTCACGTCGAAGTAAACATTGTGATATGTTACCTGCAGGAGTGGGTGAATTATGAATTTCTTTCGAATTCGATGTCCTACTAGAGTATGTCTATAATATGAGTGACCATAGATTGGAAATATTGAGCTGTTAGTGAGTAGAATTAGATTTTCTGGAAACAATGAAATTACATAAAAGCCTCACCCCCTTCTGCAAGCAAACATGTGAAACGCTGAGAAATTCACATTATCGATGAATTTTACTACATTTTCGATTTTTATGAGCACGTTGCCGTTCACTTGTTGGCTTCATGATAAATTATACCTTCAGCCTATCAAAAGTAATCATCGCTAGGCTTTTGTGTTGTGCTCTACTTAGAGTTAAAAGTAGTATCTAATGATCATTGTTAGTTAGGTGGAAAATTGAAGACACATTTTGCAAATGCACACTTGATGGGACAAAAC